AAGTCTCCGGTCAGATTTCGTTTCTTTTGGCCCTACGAGTTAAGCATCCATCAAACTTAATGCCTGGTGACATTTGTTGCTTGAATATCAAATACCTTCTCAGTAGACGGAATCTCATTCAAAGTCTATAATATCAGTTCAAGCAGAGAATTATGACACCATAACGCTAAGGCTCAATCGTCTCAATGGAAACATTCTGGATCGCCCAGCCCTCTAAAAGCTTTCTTCGAGTTTAATGGTATATTTCATCATAAATTCTTGCCTAAAGGTCGAACGGTCAACACCTAATACCTACAAGTTCAATACCGCGGGGATTTGTAGAAAAACAAAGCATGGATTTTGCAACATGATACCTGCACACACTTCTTTGATTTTTCTTACTTGGTCAAAAAAAAATAATACTTTAATGATTCCCCAGTCTCCATATTCGCCAGAAATTGCTTTCTGTGACTTTTTTCTATTACCAAAAACAAAGAGAACCTCAAAGGGCTGTCGTTTTGCAAGCATATAAAGACAAAAAAGCGAATCGCTGAAAGCGCTAGTCGAGTTTGAGATATATTTCGATGATTGGAAGCAGCGCTGACATAATATATAAAAAGTGATTCATTTCGAGGTTCAATACTTTTTTTTATTTTTATTTTTTTTAAGAATAAAATGATTCCATCGGCCCACAAACCACACCAAATAGTTATTTCTCTTGGCAGTTCCTGACTCTCTTCACGTTGCCCCTTCGTCCCGAACGGTAATTTTACTTGTTCGCATACTCATTGAGCCAGAAATAGGCTTATCGTTGAATAAAATTTAGCTCCAAAATGTCAGATCTTTTTGGAAATTTTCAAGGATTTATAGAGCGTTATCGCTTGACTGAATTGTCGGCACCGGCAATATCGAGCCACTACTGAATATAGCTGTCATTGAACTTTGAGTGATAAAGATTTTCTTAAAGTATTTAAACCCTGAATTAAATAAAGCATCCTGAACTTTATAGAATGATAACAAATATTATGTAATATATTTGCGATGCACACATGTATATAAATTATCTGCCAGGCCGTAAAGGGTGTACAGAATCTAATTGTTGCTTATTCCTCTAATAGATACTTCAATGAACTTCTCCACATAATTCGATATGCTCTGGGCGTTCTCCGATAAGTGCAGAGATATTAATGTTTTAAGGCGACTCCGAACAGATGTTCTACTATTTTCTAACTCACGAGAGGAAATCGCTGTAAGCATAACTTCTTGTTTGTTGGTTAAGTAAAGAATCAAGTCTTGATTCTGCGTTCTGATAGTACGCACCTCCAAACTTATTAGTGACTGGTGCTATGATTATGCAAGAAGTTGTATCGAGCATGCGAGTACAATGCTCTCCAAGCGTTCTATATGATTTTGCGCTGCTTGTGATGCATGCTCTTTTAATGGAGTTAAACAAATATAATATAACAATAGCAATGTTTATTTGACTCCTTTCCTTTGTGTGGCAACAACATATTCGCGCTGAAATTAAATGCTTTTGAGTTGCAGCATGATTTCTACACACTAATGAATGGTCTTATTTTTTAGCAGCTAAACACACAGACACTGACACTAACGCATATAAGCTTTCACACATTTACATACACATATTTAGATGAATTAAAAACAAATGCAACGCACACATGCGCAAGCATTCACATACTGATTATGACCGTTGGTACAATTGCACAGTTTGCCAGTTTGTTTAGCGTTGTGCTGCTGTGTTTTTACTGTTGGTGGCAGTTCAAGTGTCAAAAACTGCAGCATTGTTGCATCTACTTGGGGCGCTTAGCGTACGCCTTCGCAACTCGCGTGTTCACAAAGTCGGTCAGGCAGCATATTTTTCATTCTAGAATCAGCCATTTTATTGTTTTCGCGGCGCTTTTGTTTGCCCCCAGCTGCTGTTGCTGCTATTGTTATTGTACGAATGCTGCTGGCAACCGAAAGTTGTTTTAAATATATTGTTGTTGCTGTAAGTAAGTTAGTTGGTTGCCTGGTTAGTCAGCTGAATGCTGCTGCCGCTGCTGCTGGTGTTATTTTAATGAATGGATTACCAGAATTCTATGGACATTTGCGAGGCTAAAAGGTTTAAATGAGTTTAGAGTAAGTTCTTGTTTGGTTTTATTAGTATTTCGTGTGGACTAAGTTTATTGTTGGTTTTTTTTATAGTCAGTGTGCTTTACATAATTTAGTAAAATAAACGGCGAGTTTAGGTGGAAAGTTGGGACCAAGTGAGATATAAGCATTGGGAGCTTACAAGAGATATCTGAGAGGTTAAATCGGAATGTACTTAGATGAAACTACTAAAGAGAAAGGTGAAAAGTTAACTTCGGTGGCACTAAAGTTATTAAATCCTTGACAAATAAAAAAGATTTCATACAAGAACTCGATTTTGATCGGACGATTTGTACGGCCATGAGCAGCTTCTTATGGAGAAAAGGATGTATGCAAAACCTCAGATCGACATATAAAACACAGTTCCCATATATACAGACAGGCGGACGGACACAGCTAAATCGACTCAGCAATCATTCTGATAATTTGTATATAAATATCTAATTTTAGGGTCTCCGGCATTTTCGTGGCAAACTTAATATATACCCTGTTCAAGATATAAACTGTATTTGTGGGAGAACCTATTTCCAAAACTTGACATACTGACTTTTACCCCCATACCGATAACAGTATTGAGTACAATATTAAGTTTCTCATGCCCATAGTCCGATTTTCTAATTTCTCAATTTTTTTTTTTTTTCAAATGCAGTTGTTCTCAAGTTTTGAGGCTTTTAACTCCAAATATTTTCACCAAACTTTACTCTGTTCATTCTACGGTTAAAAGTAAGAACCAATCGTCATCATATTTTGGTGAGTTTTCGCCTGCTGTCCATATGACCTCCTGACATCTCGTTCACTAATTTTCTCAAAAGTTTTGTATATTTTTTCGAAGATGATTCGTTCGTCGCTTAGTTTTAGTTTGAACCCTTTCTTCTTCTAAATTGGCGTAGACACTATTTACGCGATTATGGCCTATTTAACCACAGCGCGCCAGTCGTTTTTTCTTTTCGGAGTTTGGCGCCAATTGGAAATTTCAAGCGAAGCCAGTTCCTTTTCCACCTGATCTTACCAACGGAGTGGAGGTCTTACTCTTCCTCTCCCTCGGTAGGTATTGCATCGAATACTTTTAGAGCTGGAGTGTTTTTGCCCATACGAACGACATGACCTAGCCCGTGCAGCCGCTCTCGCTTAATTCATTGAACTATGTCAGTGTCATCGTAGGTTCTTCTTACATGACTTCACCATCTCAATCGCTGTCCTTCAACAAAACGTATTTTATTTTTGCTATCAAAAATAATAAAAATTACAATTGATTCCGAGCTGATCAATTACTAGTACTTAAGGTAGTACTTACGTAGTTACAATACCCTTCTGGCCCAAGCAAATTATAACATAGCCATTCCTAATGACAGGAATTTATACAGAAGTTTCTTAACTGTGGTATTAAAACTCTAATCAGATGCTACCTGTAGAAGTTGCCTGGAAGAAGACAAGATAAAATTATCTAAATACGTCTTTCGTTACTAACGCAACTTCGGGAAATAAAGGCTAGAATCCTTTGAATCCCACACCTTCGGACTTAAGCAGATTTTTAGCAATCTCGGCAGATTATTCAAATACAGAAGGATTTAAAATTTTAGATAGTACTGCCCTTAGGCATAAATACGAGCTTCTAATATTCCAGATCAGTCCTACAATCTAACCTAATTCAATGAGGAATAAACTTTTTTGTAGATCCATTAGGGTAGTTTAATCATTAATATGTCTTGTATCATAAAACTATATACTCGAAATTTTGAGAAAAATTGGGTTTATTTATATATATATATAGATTGTCGTCCGATCTGATAAATATGTTGGATGATTGTAGTGTTGCCTTGAATAAATATGGATGCCAAATTTTTCGAAGATAAAAAAATGTCCATACAAGGACTTAACTTTTTCAGATGGTATGACAGCTATATGCTGAAGTGATCCCATAACTGCGGTTTCGACAAACGAGCAGTTCTTTCAAGAGGGAAGTATATGACAAATACTGAGGAACCTGCCCGTTTGCAAGCAGATTGACTTAGATAAAATGACTCAGGTCGTTCAGGTTCTCTTTGATATATTGTATATGTAGTATATACACTTTATAGGGTCTCCGACGTTTCCTTCTGAGTTTCCAAACGTCGTTGCAAACTTAATGTATTATTTTCAGTATAAACAGAGTTATGGGAGGATAGACCTTTTGGTTTCAGGCGGAGCCTGGTTTACCATACTTCTAATAAAATTCTAAAAATAATCAATTGGAAGTTCCTCCCTCTGCACATTACACTATGAACCTGAAGTACTTTTTAAACAATTTTTAAAACATTTTGAAGCAACACTTTTATGAAAGTTCATAAAATATTAAATAATTTCTTGACCTTGGCAACTCTGTGCACTTGTCCACGTGCACTTTAACAGTTTCAACCCTTGAGCAAGCTTACAAGCGAAACACCAACAAATACTCAACAACAAAACAAAAATCACATAGCACAGCAAAAAAATAAACAACAATAAAGTATCGCAATTTACGAGCACAGCCCCGAGTTGTGGAAGCCACACTGCACATTGTGCTGCAAACCACGTGTTGCCCACACTGCCTAATAACAGCAATAACAACACTACCAAAGTGCGATGTAAACAAACCGGCAATGCAAAACAAAACATTGCTCGACAAATGCTCAGATTTACTCTCGCACAGGAGAGACCACGAAACTGAAAATGAGCACTTAAAGGCGAAAGCTTTCAATCGACTGCAAAGCACATTTTGTGGCTGCACAGCATTGCTTGGCTGCAAAGCTGCTGCCGGCAAACGAATTTTCCGCTAAAGCGATTCGCCGCGCCGCACGAAGTGATGAAACTGCCGCCGAAGATGTTGACCAGTCAGTGTTTGGCAAAGCGTGCGCGTGAACAGTTCGCAAATTGTGCCCGACGGCGCGTGAAAATCGTGAAAGCACTAAGTGCAATATAAATATTTAATTGAACGGTGAAAGCAAAACGGCTTTTGATTTTACGAAAACGCTTAGTGGAATTTTAACATTTTCGTGTATGATGGGCGGTGATTATTATTATTAGTGTGTAAAAAGWAATTTTTGTGAAATTGGTGAGTGCAAAGTGTTGTAGATAATGCAAAAGTAGTTAATAGTATGAGTGAATTGCAACCGCGATAAGCTTGACTAATAAAGTTGCGTATACGCCGTGTGCAACGCGTGTTAACTTTCAAAAAATAAAAAATAATTTTTTTTTTCCAATTGCCACAAATGCATGCTTGTCACTGTTTTACATGCTGGAATTTAGCATCATTTCACGCGCAATTAAATCACTGCAATTGCTGCCGTCAGCGCATTCGCTTTTGTGTTGCCAACACAGGACAACCGGAGTCAGACGGCGACCGCCGACTCGCGTTTCGTTGGCATTTCTCGTTTAATTGATTGGAAAATCATATAATTTGGCTGAACAGAAGCGAGCTGCTGTGCTGCACGCACTCATTTATCACACATTTTTTGCCATGCACCGTTGCATTTGCAGCATATTGACAAGAGGCTATAAAATCGCGCGATATTTGTTGCTTTTGATGCAAAGCAATAATTTGTGGGATTCTACCAACTATCTGCCTTAATGGTTAACATTCCCTATTTTTATACCCTGAACAGGGTGCTAATTTTGCTACGATTTTTATGATACCCAATAGGAAACGGCGGAGACCCTTAAATTGCGTATACATATATAGTATATACGAATATACATATAAATGATCAGCGTAATGGACTAAGTCAATTTTGGCATGTCCGGCTGCCTATTGGTCTATATTTACGCATACGTTACTAGAACTTAGTTTTTCAGATACCGATCTGAATTTTCCACATCACTACTTCTTTAAAAGAATCTGCTCATTTTCTGGAATTGCCGATATTAGACCATTGTTACATATACATAGTTGCCATAAAAACTGAACAATCGAAGTCAAAGGATTGTATGGAAAAATGTATCATTTCACAAGATATCTTCATGAAATTCGGCGTGGGTTAATATCTGAGAAAATAATGTCACCAGCAATAAACTTTTTCAGATCGGATTATTACAGCATATAGCTGCCTTACAAACTGAACAATCAAATTCAAGTCCCTATATGGAAAACTTTTTTTATTTGAGCAGGTATATTCCGGCACCGATTATTACCTAAAACAGTGGTGCAATCTCCAGAGAAATGGTTTAGATTAGATCACTATAGCATATAGCTACCATACAAACTGAACGATCGGAAGCAAGTGTTTGAATGGAAACTTTATCATTTGACAAGATATCTTCACGAAATTTGGCATGGATTATTATCTAAGAAAATAATGTAATACGAAGAAATTCTTCAGACTGAATATCTATAGTACATAGCTGTCATACAAACTGACCGATCAAAATCAAGTTCTTCTTTGAAAAACTCTTTTGTTTGACAATATAACTCTACCAAATTCGATACGAAATATTTCCGCAGGCAACTGAATAATTTCCGAACATATTGTTCCGATCAGACCACTACAGCATATAGCTACCATGCAAACTGATCGATCAAAATCTGAATATTTTTTGTGAAGGGTATTATAGCTCCACTGCAGTAGAAGTTAAGTCTTTTTCTTGTTTTTATTTTTATTTATTTATTTATTTATTTTTTGTTTTTTTTGTTTTTGTACTCCCATATTTACACCCAGTCCGAAGGCAGACCAGACGTAGACCATTTAACGGTTTACGAGTATTGTTTCATTTGTGCGCCTGTTTATTCAACTCTCGTTGCGCGTTTGTTTACTCACTCATCAWTTAATTAATTAATTAATAATTTGTGCGGAAAATTCAGCGCAAGTCAACGCTGAGTCAAGTGCAGTTGCAGTCACGCGCTGACTTCTGACGCATCAGGCATCAGTGTATGACCAGTGTTTATGGTTGCACGCATCGTTGAGTACATTTAATATGTGGCAATAAAATTGTTTGCATTAAATGTGCCACACGTGTGTGTCGGCATATAACGGAAAATGCCAAAATTACAACAAAAAGATAAAATATAAATTTACACACACACACCAGTAAAAATAACAATTAAAATAAAACAATACAATTAATTGATAGAATGCTATAAATTAAAAACGAAAACCAACTACAACAATTAAGCGTAAATCAAAGTGCCCATATATTTTTCGTTTTCTCTTGTTCTTGTTTGTAGTGCGTCAGCAATCTTTCGGTATCGTGTTTGGCTTTCTTTGCCATGGTGAATGATACTGTCGACATTGCCGCACATATTTTAGATTTTAATTTGGACTCTTCGACGTCATTGCCGCAGCCGCCAAATCATAGCCTGCAGCATTCTTCTAGTAATAGTACGCTGAGAGTACCGAAAAAGCAAACGAAAGTGCACGATCATTTGGCCAAGCAAGAGCAGCAAGGTCAACAAATTACAAGCAATTTGAATATATTGCCGAATAGCGCTGAGAATTTGAGTTGGACCTTCTTTGAACATGTTTCCACATTGGACAATCAACTGCGCGGCGATGAAGAGGTGAGTCCAAACGTTTGCTTATATTTGATTTACTAAGTTATATGTACCTATTCTTAAGTGCAATTCCCGGGAGAGACTACACGCATGACCAAGTGTTAAGAATTTTGTGAAATAATAGACGGTGCTGGAGGAGCTAGTTTATAAAAAAAAATCATTTATTTCTCCAAAAACTAAGTTCTATGTTACAACAATTTTGTCTAGAAATCTGACGCAAAGATTTATATTAAGATCATAAATTTTTTCTGGGACGAATTTTTCCCAACTTTTAAACAATTTTAGATTTATGAATAAATTTTTCTAGACATGGTAAATTCGAACCATTCGAATATTATTTTCACACTAATTTTCTCCTTTTATAAATTCAATTAAAATATTTAATTATGTGAAATCATAGAAAAAAACATATTAAGTTGACTTACCACATAAATTAAATTATATGACATATATATACTGTATTCAGTGAAATTCAAAGACAATAGCTTATCTAAAATTGACTTAAATCATATTATTGAAATGTAGAAACTTTTCTTTTCGACGTAAGCTACTTTTCCGTTTTAACATTAATCTAAAATTCACGCTTATAATCATATTATTATTATCATATTTGAGAAAAAAATAGTTCTACCGGAACAAAATTTTTATTATTATTTCTTAAAAGCGAAAGTTGTTGCTCAATCAATGCATTTCCGAAATCCTTTTACAATAATGAAGGTGCTTCTCTACAGTGAAAGCACGGCATTTGTATGTGTCAATATCTTTTTAATATTTTACAACGTTGTTAATAAATAACAGTAGAGCTATATAGTCTTAAATATATTCAAAAGAAATACTGGAAAACACAAATTTACTCATACGACGTGTATTCCAAGCAAAAAAGTCAAGCCTTTGAAGTACGAAAAAATGCAGCTGTATTCATTACTTACTTTGTCTGCAGCGTTCGGTAAGGTTAGGCGAGGTAAGGTTAGACGACTTCCATTTGTTAAAAGAAATGAATCAAGGAATTTCTTCGTGAATTCTTGCTCAAAACCAATACTGTAACTTGACCCAGTCTCCATATTCTCCAGTCATAGCACCCAGTGACCTTTTCCTATTTTCATAAATATACAAAACCTTAAAGAGGGATTGTTTTGAAATATGAAAATTGCTAAAAGACTTACAAAAAATGGAGTTTGAGCAGAATTTAGACATTGGAAGGCACGCTGGCATAAGCGCAAGGCGAATGCAAACCATTTTGATTACAACGTTTGTATGTTTTCTTGAACTGTGAAACAAAGCAGATTTATAATTAGAAAGGACATAATCCTTAATAAAATCTCAAAGAAAGATTTTATTTTAGTTTGGCAAAGCTTTTATTTTCTGTCCGAAAAGAAATAAAGAACATACAATACAATTTTTTTAAATACACTATGAAAGACGACTTCTTTCCCTTTGTTCTACTTTACTATAAATATATAATGACATATTAGCATAAGTAGCAAGAGGTTATATACAGTTAAAAGACCGCGTAAAGCAAATTTACCACATTTTTTTCTGTGAAAACTTTTTAAATTTATTAATCAAAAAATGTGTACACTTATAAGCATTATGGTATCTTTTAACTGTATTTCAATATTTAGTATTAGTAAAAATATTTATTTGAAAGGCAACTACCTCTGATCTCCGGGGGTTCCTCTCAAAAAAGACATTTTGCGGTGCCACTATATCTTTGAACTGGATCCTCTTAAATTAAAAAACCAAAAATATTTCGTTAAAGAAATGTTAAGTTTAGTCAAGCAAATCGAAAGAATAAGCAAAATAAAATGTTTTGACAAAATGGCGGTTCCTCAAAAAAAACATTTTGACCACAATTTCGGCCTTAAATTGTAAAAAAAAAAGATATCGGTGAAAAAAAAAATCTTCTCTTATTTACTAAAAATTATATTTAGAAAGCTTGTGTTAAAATTTAACAGCCGTTTTCAAGTAATGTTGATCACCGATTTTGAGAAAAAGTCGTTTTAAGTTTGGAATGCACTTCCAAGGATTCTTAAACGACTTTTTAAATTTGCGAACTTGGAAAAAATTCACCAGAACATTGAAGTTGAAATTATGAAATTTTCTGTGTGTATTCTTAAATATGTGTTCATTAAGAAGATTAGATAATATTTGTTTTTAATTCTAACTGTGTATAATCCTATAGCAATCGAAAGTATCGGTCAATATATGAGATACATTGTAAAAATTCGGAAACCTGAGGGAATCCTGTGCTAAATCAATAATTCTTTTAGGCCTCATATACCTAATATAGACATTTTTGAGCTACTGGCCGACCTTATACCACATACATATATCGGCAAATACATGCAATATATAAGTTATCTTAAAAAAATTTAAATATATTTTCGTTCATAAACTGAATAAAATCTTGAGAAAACTAGCACCCAGGAATTAATTTCAGAACAGTTGATAATGTTATATGGGGTACCATAATGAAACTCAGAGTGCATCTTTTTCTGTTAATAATATAATATATAGAATCCCAAAAACGAGATAAATTGTTCACACTACTGTTAATTATATAATATTAGATATTCCATCTTCCAGTTGGCTACACCATAAATATCGGTGAATATTAAATTTATCTTAGCAAAAATAACTGAGAGTTTACTATTGTATATGATATACGGTCACTGTATGAGCTACATATACAAATATTCATTCAAATTTGATTGTAACCCGTAAATGATTTCATCGTTTAATTTCAAATTCTTTCGCTACATTTGTGAAATAAATGTCTGCCAATACTTCATAGTATTTCGCCGACACTGAAACTGAAAAGTTGCAGGACTTGTTATTTAATTTAATTTAATTTTTTTTTTTTTTTTTTTGAGATACTGTGGGAGATATTTTTATTATTATTCGCATAATTCAAATTTTGCTTCAGTCACAAGTTTTGTTAAAAAAAAATTCACTATTTTTATGCCATCACACTAGGTGTACCTCTTTAAATAGGTAATCTTCGTACTTTCCAAAAAAGTTGGTTTTCTGGCATCAAATGATGAAATGAAAAGATATTACTTACAGCTTACTTCAAATTGATCCATTAATTTGAATGAAGATCTAAAACCACTTTTCTATAGTATTATAATAGTATTTTACTGCTGAATAATTTTTGTAGTTTTAAAGCATCTTCAAAAGCTAACAGATCAGCCCAAGCGAAATAGTCAGAAGAAAGTGCTTCGGCTTAGCTAGATTAATTAGGATCATATCTTCTAAAACTAATTGGTACTTTCATTGGGGCGATTTACATAAAGATAAAATGCCAACGCCTAATTTTATCAATTCCAGTACACACCTTTACCAAACACAACAAATTAAGCGCCTATGACTCCAGAGGCAGCCATTTCTTGATAAAATCAGCTTTGCGCATAATTTAAAACAATTTGAGCTTCCATGAAATCAAATAGATATACAAACATGCATATGCCTATATGAGTATGATCAAGGAGCACCTTTCGAATAGCCGGAAGAAAATGAAAATGTTATTCATTTTATAGGGCGACCGCAATTACATCAATTTTAGAATGACAACAATAATAAATTTTTAAAGGCGTACACATGTTGTTTACAGTTTTTGCCACCACAAAAACACACACATATATTGGAGACTTTTTGTTCACTATATCTTTTGCATACACTTCACGTTGGTACTGGTATAATAGGCGAACACTTGGTCTGCTAGTTGAGGGAATTTCGAAAGGCCTAAAGATATCAAGCCGCTACACGTACTCGTATATATGTATGTGTACAGTTAAATGTGTTTTGCTGAGCAAGAACGTGCAACTATTTAAGCGCTAAATGTGTACACATGTATGGCTGTTGTAACCGCACGCACAATGTGCCACAGATAGGAACTAATGCGTTGACAACAACTGTGTCGACAGACAGACAAAATACTCAGCCAGCAGAGTCTACTAAAATGTAAAGGTTACTTGTGTTGGTGTTATTATTAAAGAGTCTGCGAGTGGCGGAGCGGTGGCCTGTTGGGCGGCCGCTTATGCTTAACAGTGTGGTCGACACAACATAAGCGACAATAGTAGAGTGGCAACATTAAATTACACACATCCGGTCAGGATATGCTAAACACAAGCAGAACACATGCATATATACACACATACAAGCAAATGGTAATTTTTCGGCTGCGCCAGATGTGTGCGACATACGAATGCAATGACAATGCCACATGCCAACACACACACACCCAAGTGTTGAATGGCTTTGTCGAGCATAGGGTTTTAATATAGTTGTTGCCCGTTGTTGAACGTGCTCTTGTTGATATCTTAATGACATGGCAGTGCATGCAGCTCAGCAACAGTTTTTCATATACAAACATTCGTTGCTTATTTTTGCTGTCACTTCTAATGTTGCAACACCAATGCGATTGTGGTAACGGCCACAGACGGCATCACAATCAGACCACTAGGCACAAAATATTTACACAATTGCGATTTGGAGTTAAGACGCCACTTTGAGCATGGAGGTAGTTGCCTTGAAATTCACCACTGCCAAGGACAGGTTTCTATAAAAAATTTGGTGTTGCAACAAACAGTGAAACATAATGCACTTTCTTATTGTGATCTCTAAAATATTTTTAAGAAGGTTTTGTGGTAGAGGATTTTCAGGTAATATAATGAAAAACAAGTAACGAAGAGCTAAGTTCGGGTATGACCCAAGATTTCATAAAAGTACATTCAGGTACATCAGGTCTGTTAGTTACATAGGGTCTAAGGCCAGTTTTCACCCAATTTTATTTATTTTAGGCACAAATAACATACCGTTATGAGGAAAACATGATCTCTCAATTTTATTAAGATAACTCATATATTGACCGTTATTTACGGTAAGAAGTCAACTGGAAGTTCAAAAATTTTTATATTAGGTTTATGGGGGGGAAGAAAGTATTGAACCCAGCCAACCTGAGTAAATCTGGCACATTGATCATTATTTTCGGAAAAATAATAATT